GTGTGTGTATCCACATGCCAAGTCTAAGTCGAGCGTGGGTGTAGTGTAGAGTAGTAAAGTCGAAGTCGAGCCCGGATGTCGTGTGTGTGTGTATCCAAATGCCAAGTCTAAGTCGAGCGTGGGTGTAGTGTAGAGTAGTAAAGTCGAAGTCGAGCGTAGTAGCATAGGATAGGAAAGTAGAAGTCTATAGCACAGAGTAGAGTAGCATAGGGGTGGGTTTTTCACACGCCGTCTCTCTCTCTCTCTCTCTCTCTCTCTCTCTCTCTCTCTCTCCCCCCCTCCCTCCCACAGTCAACCAGTCAGTCAGTATGTCTCTCTGTGTGCTCACATGGGCCCGCTGCACACCATGTTCAACCCACAATCTCTCTCTCTCTCTCTCTCTCTCTCTCTCTCTCTCTCTCTCTCTCTCTCTCTCTGTGTGTGTGTGTGTGCTTGCCTGCCTGTGTATCAGTGTGCACTCATGTGCGTGCATGTTTATGTTGGCACATGTGCTTCATCTTATGCCAGTCTGGGGACCATTTTGCGTTCGTGCAATAGCCCAGCCGGCAAGGAGCATCCGTGCTGAGTGCCATGTTTGTGCCGCGTGCTGCGTGCTGGCAATCAAGGCGGCACCAACCTACGCCTCAGCAGGCCACCTGGGGGAAAAGTATCGGTGTTTGGTGAGTTGTTTAGTGAAACCCTATTCCAAGCGACGCAACTTTAACCTTGGCAGGTGGCTGTTGGGGCACACTTGACACCCTCCTCACCGTGGCACAACCTAAACTTTGGCAGACGGCCTTTGGGACGCATTTGGTGAGTTGAGCAGTGGCCTATCATCGTCAAACTTACAGGTATTTCAGTTCTGGATTTCAACAGTCTGTGGCCAGCGGTATATCTTTCCACGTTCTAGCTGAAGATTCATTCCCATTTTCCACATTCAGGGAGTGGTGGAGGCAAGCCCTTAGGCGTTGCCCCTTTTTCGCGGATGGTGTTCCGGGGCGGCGCGCTGCCGTTCTTCTTTCAGAGGACGCATCTGGTGTCCCGCAGGGACGCGCGGCTGTTTTTTTTCCCACGCCTACACTCTTCACCCTTTTGGGGGACGTTGAGACCGGTGTCAGAAACAAGCATTTGGCATTCAAGATCCGAGAACGTCGAGGAGTCGAATCTTCAAAGCCAAATGACCAATGATATTCGTCGATGAACGGCCCGAAATGTAGATCACAGCGGATTAAGTGCAACCTGTTCTATAATGAAAGAAAACCTCAGACGTCCAGATGCTCTTCAACGAAGGAGACCAGAAAAACATTACGTGGAGCTTACCGGAGCGCAGACAGTTCGTTAGAAAACCAGCTTTCAGGCGCTCCGGGCTACCGAAATGTAGACCCGAAGGCTAATACACAGAGATAAGTAAGAAATTGGCGTACAGCATACCCCCACTGCCCACTTAGCTATAAAGTTTCAATAGGCGAACATAGCTGTACAGCTATAAATCTCGTTCCCCTGAAACGTTCAGGAGTCGATCGTCCCAGTTGATGTCACTTCATAACCATCCAAACTCTTTCATCTGGGGTGCAGTTCATCTATCTGTCAGTTTCTACCTCACATGTCCGTGACTGCGGTAACTTTTCATGTCTCTGTCAGTGTTTTCTGTAAATTTTCAGATTGCCTTTCCCTTCGACTTGCTGAACAGTCAGCTCATGAACTTGATGGGCATGTATGTCGTCATATCAGGGCCGTATGTTTGTTCGAACCTTTGGGACCAATCTTTGTGAGACTCCTTGTCTAAAAAATGCCACATTTGAAGTTTCAACCACCTTACTCAGGCAGAGGGTGGAAGACGACATTGGTCACAGCCAAGACCTGGTACCTGGGCAACCTTACATGATTTGGACAAGTCGAACCGGCAGCTACCACTTAGAACAGTTCCACGTCATACAATTGGAATGACCCGCATAGAATCCGTCTGAGATATATGCAGTTTCTGATTATAGCTGCTTGCTAGTTTGATTTGCTGACATTTCTGTGTTCTGAGTGAGATTACTGTTTGCTTGCATGTGTCTAATTCCCTATGTGACGATTGCTCTGCGGAGTACTAGGTGCGTTATCACCCTCCGTTTTCTGTGTTCCGGGAACGGGTATTTTGGAAATATAGGGGAACCACAGGGATAGGACTCCAATTGGATACTTGACGGACTTCTCTAAAGGCCAGGGCGGACAGGAAAAGGAGTAGAATTTGGCTGGTGCTCTCTGCGCTGTGGGGTCTGGCTACAGTGGCTAGGGAAAACCTTAGCAATCAGAGAGGAACAAATAATTCTAAGGTCAACCAACGCTTAGGAAGACAGCAGATGAACAATGCAACGATTCCAAATTCCAGACCAAAAAGAGTCTGCCACCACGGAGTTCAGAAGAGATCAAACGGACACAAACTGAGACAAGAGGACTCACTACAGTCCGGAGAACACCAGAGCAACTCGCAAATGCACACTTCTTTTAGAACTTTACAAAACTCACACCTCCAACAGCTCATAGCCCAAGGACGAGAACGGGAATTAGAATCCTGTCGATACTACACAAGCACAGAGTATCTCTTACCTTCTCAGGAATCCTCCCACAGGCTTCTGCCCACTTCAGTTCAGCTGCCCTGTTGATCAGAGAACAACCAGAACGCCAATTGTTAGACACTACACACATGTCGGGCCATTGGAGTTGATATGAACATGCGCAACAAACCATGGCCTGCATGAGTAGTAAGGGTTAGGTGAATAGATGGTAGTACCAAACTTGGTCCTGGCAACGGTTGTTCCATGGCAGGTACAGGGTGTTTTCCGCTGATGCCACATTGAAAAATATCCGCAGTTCCTTGAAGTTCCTGTATGGCAGGTACAGGATGTTTTCCGCTGATTCCACATTGAAAAATATCCACCGTTCCTCGAACTTCCTGTATCACGAACCCCGCATCCAAGACTATCTGTGATTCCTTGACACTTCATCATGCACTCGACTTTGTTCACAAACTGTTATGCTGGAAGTCCCTGGAGAGTCTGTATTCATCTGCACAATTTGACCCGTGACACTTGCCCCTCGCTACAGATTCAACACATCATTTGAAAGAGGACATACGTGGAACTTGGAAAAGACCAGCGGAAAAGTAACATGCTCAACCCTCCACCCCCACTCTCCCTGCACAGACTACATACTGCTCTCCTTGTATGCAAGGCATCTTACATCTCTCTCCAGCTTTACTTCTTCTCCTACTCCGATTCCATTGTCATGTTGCTGCCAAGCTTGTCAACAGCTAACAGTCAAGTGCCGCACCATCACGTCCGGCCACACATTCTATGCATACACTCAAACCCACCCAACAAGCAAAAATCAAAGAATCCCTGTGGCCAAAACTCCAAACATACATTCCTCCTGGCGACCCACAGACATTCCTTCATCAAAGAGACGGCCCATGCTCTAAAGTAGGGCAAAGAACTAGGCCATGTGTAATACACAAAACAACCAACAAGACATCCAACCACAAAAGAAGAACAACTCGCCAGCACGAGCCCAATGCTAACGACTCAAATCTGCCAAGACAGAGATCTAGCAAGATGAGTCTTATAGATTGTCACCAGAACAAACCCTTTCCCACCCACATCATAAGATCCAAATTGAAAAAGCCCTACCTAATAACCTTCTGCAAGTTACTAGACCTGTTGCAGCTTCGCTTGCGAGAAAAGAGGAAATAGAAAAGCCGTCTTTCCTTTATCCTTTTCTTGCACTAGCTAGTTTAACTGTTGTGTCCAGTTTTCTGCGTGAAGCTGCTACCGTCTCAGCATCCTTTCCATTTCCTCTGCTGTGTGCAATGACCCTTACGATTGCAGAGTCTGACAACTTTGAACTTTTCTAAGAAAATGTTGCCCTGTTGATTTTTTCTCCCTTCCTCTGTTTTCCCCCTCTTCATTTGAGATATTGATCTTTATCTAGGCCATATGTTACGATTGTTCATTCTTGACCGTCTGTTATGACCAGTATTCAGAGTTCTTTCCAGACCATCTTTCTTGAATATATCGCGTAACTTGAGGGTCTCCACCCTGAAGGCATTCAGCCATGGATGTTGTGAATGTCAAGCTAAGATGATACTGACGAGAAGACAACCTTAGATTTCGTTTTTATAGGGTGTGTCCCTGCCGAGTACCTAGTCGGACCTGAGACCACCACATACTTGGCACCACGCCTGGTAACGACTTGCGGCCACTTTCCCAGAATTCTCTACCAGGCCTCATGCTCCCACATAGCTACGGGTTACAGGGTGGCGCTACTCACCCCAGCACCAACCAGGATCGTTCTGGCCTCGGCCTGCCTACCTCACAGGCCACAGGAAGTGAGGGCAGCAGGTTTTGAACCGAGCACCTACTCCCACGAACTTCCAACTCTAGGTCTGTTTGCTATGTTTCTGAGTGCTTTTGCGGTCAACCGATAATGTACATATCCCATGTGATTGCTTGCTCTGTTCGTGGTCAACCTCTCTCTCTCTACACACAGAGTCCCGTGCACAAAGTCCATTGTCATCACACAAAGATCGTCGTCATAGTACAAGTCGTTCATCGTGCAGAAGTCTCGTGGTGCAAGGAGTCACTGGAAAGTGTGACACAAGGGGTAAGGTGGAGGAGGCCAGAGCAGGGGAAGAGTGCCGTGGAAGGAAGGAGGTGCAGGTAGATGGTGGTGGAAGGCAGGCGGAGCATGAGTGTGAAAAGAGTAGGTGATAAGGGAGAGAAACGAATTGTACTTGCAGCCATAAAATTCAGCTTAACAAAAGTAGGACGTCCAGCCATACCTCAGGCTCAGCAATTCTCTGCGTACTAAACATGACTCCCGCCAACATGTTTTTCCACATCTCTCTCCCTTCTTCACAGCATGCTCTCGTGCTGATACAGCAGGATGAAGCCCACTGACGTCCCTAGACCCCAGCCTCTCATCGAAACTGAGCATTCCAGAACCGTTCTCCACCCGCTGAAAAGCGCATGCCTCCCTGCCCGCTGTGGCCTCAGTCACAGGCAAAGATGGCACAGCACCTCCAACACCAGCTTCTGCCACCTTGGATGACCCACCAGACTGCATTCCAAACACAAATGGTTGACCAGCAATTGCTGCTTGAGACTGTTGGTTTGGGAAAACATTCTTCATAAACACAGGAGCAGCAGCTGCACCAGGTTGCATTTCCGAGCCCTGTGACGATTTATTACCAGAACTCAACGGATGATGATGATGAGGCTGTAAAACCGACCGTCTCCTGCCCTCACGAAGCCTTGTTTGCTGTCCGTGCATTGATCGGCTCTGTCCATGCAACTTTCCTGCCCTCCCAATTCCTGGCATTCCACCCTGATCATGCCCTTTGAAGCTGGGCTGATTCACTGTTGAGGGCAGTTGAGGGCCATCCTGAACACCAAAGGATCTCACTGGCTCCACCTTCGATGAAGTTGATGGAGGTGAATGAAACTGAAAGCCTTGAGGCTGGTGCTGTTGGGGTGGACGGGAAGATGAGTCACCACCCATCTGTTGACTGATCATTTGCCCTGTCTGCTCAGCAGCATGCTGATGACCGGCAAGCAAGCTACCATGCAAGTCCTGATTCTGCTGCTGCAGCACCGTCTGGCCATGTTGAAGCATTAGCTGTGAGGGAGGGCTCCGGCCTGGTGTAGTCAGCTCATGAGCAGATGCGGGCATTTGAACAGTCCCCTTCCCAATCTGGCCTGCCGTAACTGCTGCCACGGCAGCCGCAGCTGAAAAGATACCCTGCTGCAGCATCTGTGCAGCCAACCTCTTCTGATTCTGTCCAAGCAGTGACATATCTTGCTGTAAACGGCTGGCACCTGCTGGTATACCAGCAAGTGATCTTGACGCACCTGAGACACAAGGAATATGCATAGCCAACCTGTTCTTTGACTCAAGATCATTTGGACAACTTGGAGTCATTAACGGAAGCTCCTCTGGAAAATGATGCTTGTGCACAGGCTTAGACAGTGCCTTTACTTGTGCCGGTCCTGCATCTGTACCCTCCAGATCAGGCTGAGAACCTTCTGGCGTTACTGGGATCTGTGGTGCATGATTGATATGAGCATCTCCCACACGCTGTTTCCCTGTCAGAGTAGCAGAGCCTTGCACATCAGCAGCATTCTGACCCACTTCTCGCAAAACAGCTGGCTGCTTGTCTTCCCCACGAGGCCCAACCTCTGAGAATCTGTTCAGGCTCTCTGTCTGCTTCCGCACACCAGGGATAGATCCTCCAGATAACGGCTCAAGGTTTCTTTTACTATACCTAGAGTTCTGTGCTCTATTATATCGTCTTTTCTGCACATTTGCCACAACTTTTGTAGACTTTGGAGGCTGGCTGGTAGCCTGCTGAAGCATGTTCCCTGAATTGACCACAGTGTGGCCACTGCTGGTTATGTTGTAAGGACTGTCACTCCCATTCGGAGTGCCGGGCTGCGAGGATGACGCAGTATGAGTTGCCTGAACTAGCTGTGTTGGCACTGCCGCTGGCTCCCCCACACCCTTTGAGGGTGACTCTGAGACCTCATTTGACGGCTCTTTGTCCTGCTGCCAATTCGGGAGAGACTGAGATGGAGACGGTGAAGCAGAAGTAAGCTTCTTATCCAGCTCAAGTGAAGTTGAAGGCATATTCTGATTTGTAGTCAAAGGTGGCACAGCCGGTTTATACACATTTGCTAAGTCAGCACCTTCAGGAATTTCTGATGATTCTGCTTCTGCTGACCTGCCTTGATCAAGCCCTGAAAGAATGTCAGGCGACAACGACTTGGGCAAATTGCCTAGCCCTGCCATAGCTTGCCGAGAATGGAGCAGATCCAGTGGCTGTGATTCCCGCTGTTTAAGTTGTGGATGTGCTGATACCTGTCCCATCTGCACAAATTGGGATGATGGCACAGCATGTGACTGACCCATTTGTGGAAATTGGATAGAGTTCCTGTGAAGTGGGTTTTGAGGCTGAGCCTGCACTGGACTAGGCTGCCCAGGTGGCTGCAACAGGTGAACTTGCCCAACAGCTCGTTGTTGATTGTAGAACATTTGTCTTCGATCCTGCTGCAGCCCCAAGGGCAGTTGTTTCAGCTGCAGCTGCTGCTGCTGCTGCTGCTGCTGCTGCTGCTCACACGGATTCTGTAATCGTTGTTGTTGCCTCATTTGCTGCACGCGCCACCGCATTGCCATAAGTTCGTGATGCCGCTTGTACCTCTCAACATCGTTATGCTGCTCCATGTTCTCGACCTTCAATTTAAGCTGCTGCTGCTGCTGATGATGATGATGATGCCTCTGTTGAACGTTGGCCTCAGCAGCCAATGCATCAAGGTGGCCCCAGTTGTGCCTCTCATTCTGCCAGGAATTTCGGGATTTCTCTTTCACGCCAAGGGACACATCTGGCAGACAGTCTATAGGCTGCTGTAGATGTTGAACAGCATTTTCTTGAAGTAAATCCAACTCCATCTGCTGCAGTCTTGATGGCCGCAACTGCTGCTGCTGCTGCTGTAGTTGCAGCTGAGTATGCCTCTGCAACAAAGCACTTTTGTCCTGTGGCTGCTGTCTTGTTAATCCAAAATGCTGCTGCTGCAGCTGGCCTGATTGCTTCTGCTGCTGCCCGTGAAGGTGCATATTGCGTTGCCTTTCAAGTAGTGCTAACTCCTGCTGGTGTCTCTGCTGAAGTTCAATATGTGTCCGTCTCTGCTGCTCTTGCATACGTGCCTGGTGCCTCTGGTGTTCAACCTGCTGCTGCTGTCTTCGATGTTCTTCTAGCTGCTGCAGGTGCTGCTGGTGCTGCTGCCGCTGCATTTCCTGGGTCTCCCTTTGCCTTCTCTGGTGACCTAGCTCTTGGGTCTGTTGCTGCCCCTGCTGCACCCTGTGCTCCTCTTCGTCGCCAAACTGCTGCTGCTGCTGCGACGGCGGCAGCTGCTGCGGGGGCTGCTGCTGAGACTGCTGCTGCTGCAGCCGCTGCTGAAGCTGAAGCTGAAGCTGAAGCTGCTGCTGCTGTTCCAGCGTTTCTTGCATTCTTTTCTGCTGCAGCTGTTCCTGCATCTGTTGCTGCTGCTCCTGCAGTCGGCTTTGCTGAAGAAGGCGCTGTTGCTGTAGCTCCTTGGCTCTTGCCTCCTCCATTTGCTGGTACTGCAGCCTCCACTCCATCTCTTGCTGAGGATGGCGGTGTTGATGTTTCCAGAACTCAATAGGAAGATTATCGTTCTGTTCCCGTTGATCATTCTGAGAAGCCACTTTCATATTCGCTCTCCACTGCTGTGCAAGATCCAGTGTCTCCCCGTTTTCTTCACCTCGACTGTCTGCCCTCTGTGACCAGGGAATCTGTACAGCTCCGGTCTGAGTAATACCTGCGTGAGAAACTGTTTCCGTAGACATGGCCTGCTGCAGCTGCTCTAGTCCTTCTCTGTCCTTGGAACCTGATTGTCTGCCTTGGTCCGCATTATGATCATCATTCACACCCCTTCGGCCATTACCCTGAGTCTGCAAACCCTCTTGCAGAGCAAAGGATGGCCCCTCAAAAAGTCCGGAGCCAATCATATCGACTTGGGCATCGCGTTGATTCACTTCACTCAAGTTTGCTGACCGGGACAGATTCTGTGAACCCTGCTGCATGTGAGACTGTGGCCTCTGCACCTGTAAAGACTGCAATGCGCTCAGCCCAGGGGAAATGTCACTGGCCGAAGTTTGTCCTTCAAGAGGCGACGGGGAAAGATGACCGCTCGCCAAAGACGTTGCCACCTCACGACCTGGGCTTCGTTGCACAAGCATTAACGTGTCTGGTCCCCCAGCTCCAAAAGCACCCTGCTGCTGGTTGGCAACACAGCTCAAAGGCAGTTGTCCTGAGCTGTGCATCAGGGCATCCTTGCCAGATCCTGGGCCTATTGCATCTTGCTGCCTCATTGGTGAGTCCCAGACATCCTTTTCATCTTGAAGCTCAATGCCCAACTTGTCCCTCCTGCAGAATGCCAGACACAACACACCTCAGACTGGTACCCGGCATTCGAAACTCGTTCTTCTCCCCACTGCAAAAGCACTTATACATGAAACCTCAGATTGATACCAAACACAAGGTAACACGCTGGTGGTTCAAACAGTATTTCACTAGAAGGGCAGCATCATCACAGTGCTAAATATCCATCAGCTAGAAGAGCAAACTGAAACCATGCTTCCTGGTGGTGGTTCAAACAGGATTTCACAATGGCTCTATCTGGTCCTTTTACTACAATGGAGGCAATATGACAGTGCCACATATCTATCAGCTAAAAGAGCACACTTCGCAAACGAACCCATATTTTTTCTGGTTTCCCATCCTTCGTACTTTCAAAGTTCCCTTTTTAACGTGCCTCTCAGCTGCCCACACATCGATCTGCCATAAGAACACACGTGCGCACTGTCAAAATCCTGACATAGTAAGGGGAGACTACAGAAGGGAAAACCAAAGCAAAAGAAAGGAGCGCATAGACATAAGGACATTGTAAGGGAGGAAAAGGAAGCCTAGGAAGTCTCGCCGTGCTGAGAGAGATGGCAGGCAAGGAATAAGATGAACGACGACATTGAAGACCACAGTGAGAACTCTCATTGCAACAGTTGTCATGACCATGCCAATTGACCATGCCCACAAAACACTACAAACTAATGTCATGTTGGTTGCAATCCAGGATCGAACAACAGCAGATATCACAGTAGAGCATGCATTCATTACCACATCCTTGGCTACAACTGAGGAAACTTCATTGCCCAATACTGGCCGAATCTGGATAATCGCATATAAATTATCACAAAAAGGGACTCCGGGCCCTGATCAAACAACTATTGATGGTACCTCGCTTGCAAAGCTTTTGACGCTTCGAGACGCGATAGTAACACGAGAATTTGAATGGGGAGCAACTCGTATTCCGCCGAAACCTGGGAAGAACGAAAAGCGTCCACTGGGCGTATCATGCGTCCAGGACAGCATCGTAGAGAGAGAGAGAGAGAGAGAGAGAGAGAGAGAGAGAGAGAGAGAGAGAGAGAGAGAGAGAGAGAGAGAGAGTGACACCATCATCGTCATGTGATCACTACCGAGAGAGAGACACGTGGAGAGAGAGAGAGAGATTGACACCATCATCGCCATGTGATCACTACCGAGAGAGAGACACGTGGAGAGAGAGAGAGAGAGAGAGAGGGGGGGAGAGAGAGAGAGAGAGAGAGAGAGAGATTGATACCATCATCGCCATGTGATCACTACCGAGAGAAAGACACGTGGAGAGAGAGAGAGAGAGAGAGAGAGAGAGAGAGAGAGAGAGAGAGAGAGAGAGAGAGAGAGAGAAACAAAATGCGTGATTACATTCACTCCCACCATCTCTTCCTCCACTCTTCTGCATGTGCACCTTCTCTCTCTCTCTCGCTCTCTCTCTCTCTCTCTCACACACACACACACACACACACACACACACAC